CTATGAACACTACATTATTACATTTCAATTGTTGTGCCTACTTGCACTATCTTAGGATATCGCACCGCACTGTTTGGAGATGGGCATTACGCGGATTATATAGCTTCGTTTAGAGTGGGTTTTTTTTTTCTGTTGTTACTTCTAGTTCTAGGATATCAACAACATACAGAATATTGGATTGCATGCATCTTTTTTTTCGCGAATACGCTTGGGATTGCATGCATCTACCACGCCACTGTTTTCCAAGGGTATGTTCAGCCCGCGTTTCGACAAACTAACAAAAAACGGAAACTTGTTGTAGATTCACAAGGTAACTTAAGTTTGATACCAACCACGAGAAGATATCTTTTGTTTCTTTAGATTTCGAGGTAAAGTTTTGTCAGATGACTTTGTCTAAGGTTGGAAAAGACTTACCAAGCAAGGGAGGGACATGATATATGCAGAAGGCTGCCCTATTGGTTCAAGATTGTATAGTATAAGTGGACTAGTCTATCGTGCCATATTCGTCAATCTGTTAGGTGATTTGGCCTCACACAATATAATGCTTCCATGTTTCACCAGGCACTTGATCAACCCTAAAAATTCAAGAGAACCCCTCTTTGTACAATAATCTGTGTATCAAGCAAGATTTTGATCGCAAATGGATTGATTGACCATAGCTTGACTAGTAGAATGCTAGCAGGTTTCCCAAACTCCTCTGATATCAATAAACTTCAACTTCCATATTAACCATTCCTGCAAAAAAAAACTTCCATATTAACCAAAAAGAAAAAAAACTTCAACTATAGCGATTTAAACGAACAGTGTGAAGATGTTGCGTTCACGTCTTGCACTGTGAATTTAGAAATGACTCAAAACATGACGTGAAGATCGTGAGAGATAAAGTCTTTGGAGTAAATTGGTTCAAGATCCCGAAGTTAGAAAATAGTTATCACTTAGGAAAGGCACATGATTCATCAATCCATCAAGAAAATTGACCTCACATTTTTTCACTATTCACCAGAAGCTTAACCAGCCTTGAAAACACAAGAAAATCGTTCTTGTCGAAGAGGATTGGGTGTCAAAGGGAGACTCGAATCATAAAGTAAGTGATCGACTAGCAGAGAGCCAAAAATTCCCTGCTTGATTGAGATATGCCCATTTGAATCGTACAATGGGGCTGGAAGTGCATATTACTAGAGGAAATGTTTTCTCAAGGCAACCTAAGCTCCACTCATAATGACTGTCATTGCATTCTATAGTAAACCAAGTAAGTTTCCACTACGGTCCAATATAGGGTTTGCACCGATAGTGCAAAACCTTAACGTATACGTATGGCATTGTGAATGTCGAGCCAAGTGCCAACTAAGAGATAAACTCGAGATGTGGAAATGACTCGAAACATGACGCATAGAGCATATGAGAGATGAAGTCTTTGAAGCAAACCGGTTCAAGATCCCGAAGTTAGAAAATAGTTATCACTCAGGAGAGGAACATGAAATGTGGAAGGCTATCCCACCAGTCTACATCAATCCGTCCATCAAAGTGACCTCACATTTTTTCACTATTCACCAAAAGTTTGATTAGCCTTGAAAACACAAGAAAATCCTTCTTGTCGAAGAGGATCGTGCATCAAAGGGAGACTTGAATCATAAAGTAAACGATAGACTAGCAGAAAGCCAAAAGGATTCTCTAATTGAATGAGGTATGCCCATTGGAATCGTAATAATGGAGTTGGAAGTGCATATCACTAGAGAAAATGTTTTCTCAATGCAACCCAAACTCCACCCATGATGGCTATCATTGCATTCCATAGTAAACCAAATAAGTTTCCATTACCGTCCAATATAGGCTTTGCACTGACAGTGCAAAACCTTAACGTGTATGCATGGCATTGTGAACGTCGAGCCAAATGCCAACTAAGAGATAACTTGGATGGCATGGAAATGTCTCGAAACATGACGTAGAGAGCACGAGAGATAAAGTTGACTTTGGTGCAAACCGGTTCAAGATCTTGAAGTTAGAAAAATAGTTATAACTCGGGAGAGGAACATGAAACGTGGAAGGCTATCACACCAGTCTACATCGAGCCATATTCATCAACCTGTCTAGCGAATTGACCTCACATAACTGTGTCACCATTCACCAGAAGCTTAATCAAGCTTGAAACACACGAGAAAATCCTTCTTGTCGAAGAGGATTGTGTATCAAAGAGAGACTAGAATCATAAAGTGAAAGATCGACTAGCAGAGAGGCATGAGGATTCCTGAATTGAATGGGATATGCCCATTGAAATTCTTACTCATGGAGTCAGAAGCGCATATGCCACTAAATAAAATGCTTTCTCCGCAAACCAAAACTCCACTTGTAATGATTGGCATTTCACTCCATATAGTAAACCGAGTAAGTTTCAACCATCGCCCAATATATTTTGCTTCCACCAACAGTGTGAACAACATCTACGTGTACGCCTGACATTACGAATGTCGAGCCAAAACACCAGCTAAGGGATAACTTGGACGATGTGGAAATCACTCGAAACATGACGCCGAGAGCACGAGAGAGCTATCCGGGGATAGAGATCCCACCGGACGATACATATAAGACTCATCGACGCAAACGCCACGTACCCTATGCGGTAGGTGTCGCCGAACCCCAACATCTGCATCGATCGATGCATACATGCACGACTTAAGATGGAAAAAAAAGAGATGGATGTGTGCATGCTAGCTCTTTTGTGTCTGCGAGCCCCAACCTCTGCACCGATCAACACACACGACTTAAGATGGACGCGTGCAAGCTAGCTCTTTCACGTCGCCAAGCCCCAACCTCTGCATCGATCGACACACACAGCTTAAGATGCACGCGTGCAAGCTAGCTCTTTTGCATCGTCGAGCCCCAACCTCTGCACCGATCGACGCACACGATTTAAGACGGACGCGTGCACGGTAACTTTTTTTAGAAGGAGAGTGTGTGGAAAGGGCTTTGGTGTGTGAGCGGAGGCTGGGTGAGACGCACGCGCGGCCTCGGTCCCGGCGCGGGAGGAGACATACATTCTCTGCGCTGCCGACACTCCAATAAACCATTCACCCCACGGCGTCCGCCGTGAAAGCAAATCGCACCACCACCACCTACCTACTGCCCCGATCCATCCATCACCTGCTCCCCGCACGCGCACGCGCCACCGCACACCGCCGCCACGCCGCAGAGGATCCCGCGCGCGGAGGTTGGCCCGGCCCTTTCCGGCGCGTTACCGCTCCGTCCCCCTCTTTCTTTTAGTGCTCCCTCCCCTGCCACTGCTCCACTGCACCCCACCCCCCACCCCCGCTCTGCCTCCACCTCCCCGCCGCCCCACCACCACCACCTTCACTCCCCTGCCGCCGCCTCCCGG